GAACCTTCTGCTCCAGTGCTCGATGTCGACGCCATCGGTCCCCCAGCGGAACCCACTTCAATAACCGACATTCTCCCCTCTAACATTTCCGTGGATAGTTGCCTACAATTACATGAACTCTTGACATGGTTTACCGATGTGTTCAAATGGGCAGGTCAGGACATCGGCAGAACGAATGTCATCCAGCACTCCATTAACACTAGAGACGCTCCTCCACAGAGATCACCCCCTCGGCGCATACCGGTACACTACCGAAAAGACTTAGACACACTCATAGACGATCTTCTTCGACAAGGTATTATTACCCCGTCATCCTCCCCTTGGGCAGCGCCCGTCACCCTTGTCAAAAAGATGGCTCCCTCCGCCTTTGTATTGACTATCGGAAACTCAATGCAGTAACAGTTCGTGATTCCTTTCCCCTTCCACGCATGGACGATCTCCTTCACGCGTGGGTCGAGACAATGGAGGAATACTTAAGGTATGAAGAGCCTGCTTGTACATCGAGCAAGCTCATGAGAGGCCTGGTCGCTCCTGCCAGGCATATTGCCTCCATGGCAGGCTGCTCTGGCGATACACCCTATGAACAACTACTGGATAAATTGTCCCAGTTGTTCGCGGAGAAGGCTGAAGACAGTCAGCTTAAACTCATGAGTCGATGCTACCGGGCCGGGGAACGGGTAGTCCACTACATGGCTGACGTATACGATCTGGTCCAAAAGAGCCACCCAGGTGCCCCACCCGAGAGCCTAACGATAGCCTTCGTTCTCAAAGGACTACCAGCTAACATCAGCAAGCGGCACGCAAGACTTCTGCCTCAGTCAATAATAGAGGTGGAGAGGGTTCTCTCGGCGGATCCCGACCCCGGGGTTAACGCTCCGCCCCCCGCCTCAGATCAACCCCGTCCAACCCAACAGTGGCGTCCAAGGACGAACAGATTCCAAGGGCCGCGATTCGGAGGATCCGGCGGACAATGGACGGGGAAATCTCGTGGCGGAGAAGGTTCTAAGAAGCCTCCAGGTGCGTCAGTTCCACGCTCTGCCATTCATGCGTCATGTGCTGACACCCGACCCTTTATATCCGTAGGTTTATGCAGTGAGTTGATGCATTTTCTTGTTGATACGGGTGCCGGATGTTCCTTGCTCAACCCAAGACGGTTCCCTCAGAATGTGCTTGAACCACACCTGGCCTTAACCTTAATTGACGGTTAAGGCCACGAACGGTACTGTGATGCGTAGTAAAGGGTGTGTTGATGTCCCACACACTATCGCGGGTAGTCTGTACCAGCATACTTTATATTTATGCCAGGACATGCCATACGATGGTATATTGGGGTCAGACTTCCTCGACAGCTACGCGGGCGAATACAGTCGGCCACAGCGGTGTTTACGCTTAGAGCATTAGCCAAACTAAAGGACGCTACAGTCAAGATTGAAGCGGCAATTGATGCCACGTCAATCAGACCTTCTCCCTAGTGACCAGCTGGCGTACCCCCGAAAAGCAAGCGACGAACCCACCTCCGGCAAGAGCCAACAACAAACGCCATGGTTTGGACACGTGTCGCAACTTCGGTAACACAACGGCCAATGACTGAACACCATCGCAACATGTGGCTCCCACGAAAGCCCTTGATGTGTTTCACTATCACCGACACCCCATATCAGAAGTACGTCAGATTTCATCTGAATTACCACATTCCAGGAAAAATGTGGTATTTGATTTCGTGTGAATGCCCTTTGGCACAAACTAGTAAAGGCCACATATTCTGTTCGCCTTGTATGCACTGAACGGTGGGTTGTTTAGTTTGGGAACACAAATGCGTGCTACGTCGTGAATGGCTTGCACTAACAGGCAGCGGTTCCCCGATAAGCACTCTCGGTGTGCGAGCTAGAGGAAGATTTCGATGCATGGCTTGAGAACATTGAACATACTCTGTATGGGGATGAGCCTGGTCGCCGCTCAATCTGGCTCAAGAGGCTCTTGTCCAAGCCAGCTGCAAGCTTGACTCGCCCTACGAGAGTCTTGTACAAAAATTGAGGGATACCTGTAGTGAATCGTGTTGATTCACGTTAAACACCCAGTCGTCGCAGCCTCACACATGTCCCCTCTGTTCACAACCTGCCCGTCTGTCACGTGAGACCGCTGGTTCATCACCCCGCTGAATGTACCATCACCACCACCACTTCCCGCATTGGTCATGTGACCTCACAAGCGCCGGTGTTCATATTTACATGTCACTCAATTGTACACGACACAACTTGGTTGAGCGGTCTAGTAAACGGTTGTGCCTTCCCCACTCCGGTCTTCTATATTTTCGCGGGAACGCAAGGTAACGCATTGGGCCTAGATAATCGCATTGGCCCCGGCATGGTTCAAGACAACATGCCGGGGCCCTCAACATACCTTCGTCGACCCTTCTGACGAAGCCTGCCGGCTCCATGAGCTGTGGCATCGGAAGTTACGCTACGGGGAATTAGTCAAGTGCTTCGTGGACGAAATATATTATATGGTCTCCAAAGCGTATCAGGGCAAGTCTGCGGAGGCCATTCAGAGGAAGACGGTGAAACATGTCCTCTTGAGCCTCACGGCAGAAGAAGTCCGCCGATATGGACACCTCATCGACCGTCCATTGGCGGAAGTCGAAGACATACTCTCGCAGGACCCGCGTCTGACTCGTACGTCTCAGGGCGGTTGCCATCAACGGACATGGCACCCGAGAGGGGGTCAACGATTCCAGTCTACGAGAGGCTCACCTCGATACAGACCCCCTCAATTTGCAGCAAAGCAACAGAGCAAATCAGGTGTCAGTTCCATGCCCCGCCATTTATGCATCATGTCTACGTACCAGACCTTTTATATCTGTGGGTTTATGTAACAGGTTGATGCATTTTTTGGTGGATGCGGGAGCAGGTTGTTCTCTTGTTAACCCTCGTCGGTTTCCTCGGCACGCGTTCGACCCTTTTCAAGTGGCGTCTTCCATTAGCGTTAGGGCCGCTAATGGCACTTCGATGCGCAGCGACGGCTGTGTGGATGTGCCTCTCGCGATAGCAGGAAGCGAACATCAGCACACTCTGTATCTGTGCACAGATATGTCATATGACGGAATACTGGGGTCCGACTTTCTAGATCTTAATGCGGGGAATATACCCAACCACGGGGTTGCTTACACCTAGGTTCGCATGAAGTGTCCGTTGCGTACGAACAGATGCTACTAAACAAAATCATAAGACTCTCCGTTTGCCCGTGGGCATCACCCGTCGTGGTCGCCAAGAAGAGGGATGGTTCCACTAGGTCATGTGTGGAATATCGCAAGCTTAACGAAGCAACGGTAAAAGATAATTTCCCCATCCCGCGTATGAATATGACTCTTGATGCACTGGACCGGCCGACCTCATCAACCCCAGGTATTTGGAGGTCACCCTTATTCGCACGAATCTCTATCCACTAAGTTAAGTACATGATACTGATGACCCATATACACGATTGGAATTGAATTAATCGACTCTTGGTATTAGCCAGTGAGGAATACGCGAGGTTTTAGTATATATCTCCAACGATACTTGTGATAAGAATCGATTTCAAGTCTCGATCAAGGCTCAAATCCTAACTACCGTCCCAAAACCAGGATGAAAGTGATGAAAGGCAACACCGTGGACCACAACCACGGTTGCTGCCAGTCACCGCAAATCTAACAGGAGCAAGCGGCGAAACCCACTTCCGGCAAAAGCTATAAACTAACGAGAGTTTTGACACGTGTCGCAACTTTGGTAACACGTCGGCTAGGTGGTTTCCACGAAAGTCCTTCATGTGTCTCAATCTCACCGCCACCCCATACCAAACGCCCCTTGACTTAAGCTAGTGAGGGCCACAGATTCTGTTCGCCAAGTATGCACCCAATGGTGGGTTATTTAGTGTGGGAACACATCAGCGTGCTACGTCGTGAATGGCGTGCACTAACAGGCAAGGAGGCTGCTAATAAACTAGGCATCCATCCAACCTACAGTTGGTCAAAACGCATTCCACTTTAAGGTTGCGGACAAAAGCTGACTCACTCGTCGCGGAATGCAGTCCCAGGTTGCGTATGCTTGTCGTTCTCCAACAGGCGACATCATGCAACATTCCGCTTGCTTCGGGGAGGGGTCCGCAGATGCGTGAGGTTGAATCTCATCAATCGAACACCCGCCCACCGACTGCATGCAACTCACAACTCCGCCTGTCGTCCTAAAAAGGATTCAAACAGTTACCGACGCTTAACACTTGAATGCTCCCCATTCTAGGAACAAACAGTGAGCGATAGGACCACGGATAAGCAAAATAAGCACAAGCGCCACAGACTCAGGGCTCACCTCTTCAAACTTCCTCGTCACCAGACTGCACACTTCAGCTGTGCAATCAAACACATGTTCTCCGGGATGATAACAACGATTTTGCCCGACTTTGTCCAGATATTCGTCTTAGTTTTTTTGAAGTCGAGGTCGACTCCGAGTCAACTATATACGGACCTTCCCACGATTGCTGCAGTTGTTGAGGGAATCTGTATCTTGTTGAGATTCTTGTAGGTTGGAACCTATGAACTCCTCATGGCTCCATGTCCATTGACGGCTACCAACCGGAGACGTGTGGGTCCGATTTGGATCCTGAGAAAGTATTTCCTCGACCTCCACCAAAAGTTGGTCGATGAGGTGCACATAACGTCGGACCTCATCTACTGTGAGGCCCATTATGACATGTTTCACAGTCTCCTGCTTAATCACCTCCTCGGACTTGCCCCGATATACATTGGAGACCATGTCATATAACTCGTCCACATAGCATTTAACTGTCTCCCCGTAACGTAACTTCCGATGCCACAGCTCATGCAGCCGATGTGCTCTGTCCG